TTTTAGAAAATTGTAATAAAATAAATAATATATTTCTTAGTAATAAAAAGTAAAACATAATTCCCAGTACAATTTTTTTTATAATATTATTAAATTTTTTTATATTTATTATATTATAATTACAATTTGTATAGCCTTATTAGACTATTAAATAATAAAGTGGTTTATGTTAAAATACACCCAACCTATCAAATACAAACACCGCGGTGCACCGTCCAAAACGACAACATAAATGGTTTATATTAACAATGCTACGTAGGATTTTTACGCACAAATGATTTCATTAAGTGTAATTTTTAGTTCATCAAACAGCTATTTGAACCGGTTCACCAAAGAGTAAAGGAACGCCCATCCCTATTTGCATTGTCACATTTTGTCACGAGGGAGAGGACCATTTTTGGCGTCACTAGATTTATGGACGGCCCCTAAGTGCTTAAAAAGTAGTATGTATATTAATAATAAATCAAACAAGGCGCTGAAAGCTCTTTTTTGCCTCGCACACAATCTACTGTTGTAAAATGTATGCTCGGCTATATGCGCTTTCGCCGCCTGGTCTATAATCAGGCCCGTTCCTGGGGTGTCTGGCGCCTGCGTGCAGCATTCGTTGGTGCGCCCCTTTTATATTTAACTATAATACATTAAATATTTTAATTTTAAGCCCTAAAATTTAAAATATAATATATTTTAAATTTTAGGGCCAGTTTGTCGCAAAATACATATTATGTATTTTGCGACAAACTGGCAATATGTGATTGAAAAAACCGCTTAAATTAAGTATAAAAAATATTTATTAAGTTACCAAACAAACGAAATCACAAAAAATATTCATATATATATATATATATATATATATATATATATATATATATATATTATATCACGAGAACTATTAATTTAATCGGTTAAACTAGGCTCAGTAGTTTTTTGTTTGGTTTTTGTTGGAAAATGTTGAATGCAAAATAATTTAATAAAATCACGAGACCGCGTAGCGGTCGAGGGGTTTTATTTTTAATTATTTTGCATGAAACTATTTTCCAAAAAGAAAAATCAAATAAAAAACTTACTGAGCATAGTTTGACAGATTAAATTTATAGGTTGAGTGATATACGTCTAGATTATTTCTCGAATTAAAGGAAACTATTTGAAAATTCATAAAATCTGACGTAAGTATGTGTCAAAATTTATAAATATTTTTTTAAAGAAAATTCCATTAATTTAAGGTAGGTATGTAATAAGTAATAATTGATATTTCGTAAACTAGATAACTTATTTTTTTATTGTTTTTTTAAAAATGTTTGTTAAAACTTGTAAATAACACCATAAAATCGTAAACAAAAATCCAATATTGAGGCTAAAATTTAATCGCTGTTAAATAGCTCTAAAGTCAAGTCAAATCCAAGCCGAACTCGACATAAACACAATCATGCGTTGTCCATGCTCTATTCACGTGATCGACGAAAATTGTTGCACTGGGCCGTATTAAAATATATTGAATCAATATTATTGATCATTTAATATTTTAAATTTATTTTTTAAACTTTGATGGAAAGGTGTTAAAATATTTATAAAAGTTATATTTTTTAAATTACGAAATTAACAAAATTTTGGGAAATAATTTCATTATTATTTTAAATTTATTTTTTTAAACTTTAATGTAAACTTTTTAAATTTTTTACGAAAATTATATTTTTTAAATTAACTTCACGAAATTTTTGATTTGTTTTAAATTTATTGTTTTAAACTTTAATAATTAAAGTTTAATGAAAACATTTATAATAACCTCTTTTATTTCCACACTTAAGTGATTTCTTTTAGACCGTTTTTTAACTGGGCTTAAGTCCTCAAAATGTTCAGCTTCGTCTGTGCTAGACATCGCACTTAATTGAATAATAATAATAACAATAAAAACCAAATAACCAAAACAATGATAGCAATAACAACAACAATAACAACAAATAACGTTATATAACAAGTATTAATAATAAAACAATAACAAAAATAACCACAAAGATGAAAGCCGCGAAAACAAGGAAGTAATCAAACAATACGCTATTAATAACCGCAATGGACATAATGCGGCCCTGGCAAGAATTTTCGGCACGCTTCACAACCTTGAATCGCCCAATAAGAACCGTTCTATCCACCTGCAAACGACTGATCACGCGTCTGGCGTTTTTTGTTTTAGTTTGTCTTGGATTTGACTTCACTTTAGTGATTTAATCGCTTATTTAAACGAAATTTATTCGAAAATTCAAGGCTTTTGATTGGTTCATATTGTAATGAGGGAAATAATCAGTGATAAAAATACTCTAAAGAAAACAAAAAAACAATCTAAACAATATAATAAACAATCTAAACAATATAATAACTACAACTGGTTTTTAGTGACGTACACTCTATAAAAATGACTAGTTTTCAAAGTAAAAAAACATTCACTAATAACTTTAGTCCACAGCAATTTGTATCCCGGGCATTTAACAGCTTATTTTTATGTAAAATTGTCCCCTGAATCCGAAAAAATACCGTCAAAAATAATAAAAGTAAAGCATCTTTTAAGATATAGTAAATTCCATATTATAAGGAAAATTTACTAAATCTCAAAAACGATATAATTTTATAACTTTTGACGACATTTTTGGATTCAGCGGACAATTTTACATAGAAGTTGACTGCTAAATGTCCGGGATACAAATTGCTATTGACGATAATTATTAGTGGCTGCTTTTTCGCTATAGCAATTAGACTAATTGAATTAGTCATGTTTGACTAATTCTATTTTAGAGTGTTACTACTGTTAAACTTTGCTACCGTCAACTGCAACTATCAAACAAATACTAAAAATAATATGACCATTTCTCTCCTTTTATTTTGATCCTCATATCAAAACAAAATAAGCCGCCAATATCAAAGCGGCAAAAGGCGCTTTATAACGACAAAAAAAAAGGCGGCCGACGCAAAAAAAAGCGAAAACGTTTATCCAATGTATGTTTAAGTATTATATGCAAAAAAGTTTATCGTTACAAAGTACTGATTGACTTTTTGATTTCGCGCCCCCGAAATGTTGCGCCTGCGTGCGTGCACGCACTGCACGCTCGCCAGGAACGGGCCTGTCTATAATGTACTATAAGTTCATTTCTAGGTATTAGATTTTATTAACACAAACGCAGGCCAATCCTTAATTGAATTATTTTCGACAAAATTCTAAATTCATTTTATTGTATTACAATAAAAACATATTACCTATGTTAATTTGTTAACATAGGTAATATGTCTTTGACAAGATTCAATTCAATTCAATTTATTTAGATAATTATAAACATTTTAATTTTTTACAATAGATGGTGACTCGCCTAAGCTTTTGCTTGTGTGCGGAGTCCTAATTAACTAATCTAATATTTATAAAAATGAAAATATATATTTTTGATTGAACATTTTACACATAATAATACACTTTTTTGAATGAGGGGGGGATGTCTTAAATCCACAACTGTATCGGGTAGGGTATCTGATCAATTTAGGATAATTTCATTAAAATTGTTTAATAAATAAATTCACTTTTACTAATAAAATTAAAATATTTTGGTCCATAATAAAACAAGAATCTCTGGGTGTTTGCTTTCCTACAAAACGGAAGTATTAGTGTATCTTTATTTTAAGTTTAATAAAAGTGGTTGTTTAAAACATTTTCCTGTTATTTTGTACCCACAGTACAAGTTGGTAAACCTAAATCTGCCTAATTGATAATAAGTGCTTCTTGAAATAATTGGGTTAGATACCTGCGATTTTTCCTAAACAGTATTTTTAATAGTGCAAATAGTGAAAATATTTTCCAGAATATTACCCAGAATTCTCAGAATTAATTCAGCCAGAGCGATGTACACCGTTGTTAAAAGTTTTTTATCCAGAATATCTCTAAATTGATAAAAATTGTAAATAAGTTTTCTCTGTCTTAAGTTTAAAGATTCGACGTGATGATTCCATTTCAGATGCTGATCCACAGTAATGCCTAAATACTTAATAAAATGTGACTTATATCGTGGCAGTTTGTGATGTGAATTTTTATGTTATTAATTAAATTACTGACCAGCATCTGTGATGGAGAAAGTAATAAATTTTATTTTGTCAGGCTAAGGAGATTTGTCTAGCCACTCAACATATTTTATATTATTTTTATGTTATTAATTAAATTACTGACCAGCATCTGTGATGGAGAAAGTAATAAATTTTATTTTGTCAGGCTAAGGAGATTTGTCTAGCCACTCAACATATTTTATATTATTTTCAGCAACATGGTATACTTGGTCTCATGACGCAGCGGTAAATATGATCGCAGTGTCATCAGCATACGAGAAAATTTCACCTTCAAAGTTAACAATTTCAGATTTAGATATATTATGTAGGTATTAACTTATCGTGTCAAACATAATTTAAATCAGTAGGGAAACCTGAAGAAAAATAACCCTATATTTTACTACATTGAAGAACTTCTCAATGGTTAAATATAATTAATAAAATTTAAAAGAAAATGGGAAAAGTTGTTCACTAAAAATTAATTATCCCAAAAATAATGGAATGTAAATATATATTTTGTAGTAAAATGAATATAATTAACTATTATACATTGTTCAAAGAGAAAACTTTTTTTACTAGTTAACAACCTACAAACCATTAGAAATATTTCCAATAGGCAATCCAAAATACATTACAGTTTTTCTCGCTTAAGGGTGATTACCAGTCCAAAATAGTGGGGGCATTAAATTTTGCTGGTATCCTTTCTATAAACACAGTATAAAAAACAATATCTGAAAAAAACATAAAATATATTTTTGGAGCCAAGTTCATCCATTTGGGTTTGATTTTTATGCACCACGTATACGTGGTGCCTATTGGAAATATTTCTATAGGTATTTCTATAGTACTATAGTACATAAACAATCTAAAGGATTTTTTAAATTACATACCATTAAATAAAATAATTTATTTATGAAAAAATATATATTACAGCTTAACAATTATATAAAAAAACTTATTAATAAAATATACATTAATAATATATACAATGGACAATTAACTATTAACTATATAATCTAGCAGGTCAATGAAGATTTGAGCCACTGAAACAAAACGAAAAATATAAATTAAATTAAAATTAAACATAATCCAGACATGTAACTTACCTCTGCTAGGTTTAATTTAATGTTTCCATTTTGTAGAGGATCCCTGGATTCAAAGATATCTACAAAAAACGTACACTAAAAATAATTCTAAAATAATTTATAAATTTTATAACTTACTAAAAGCAACAGTTAAATGTAATATGGCAGATACAAAGTCTCCAAATCTCAGGGTACCATCTTTTCTCATATAACGTAAAATTAACGTGGCCAAAACGTCGCTGCTTATTTGGAAACCAACTTCCAATACAGCGTCACGCAATCTTTCAGCCTTTAAAATACCAGTTTTTTCCTTTGTGTGATTTTTGAATGCCGTCTGCCAAAACTTTAGACTACACATCAGGTCTTTGAAATCACTGAATTTTAGTCTTCCGATTCCAGACGACTGAAAAATTAAGTTTCTAAGTATAAAACAATGTTCTTGCCAATTTTTATTTTACTTACATCAAATGTAATAACAACCTGTCGACATACTTCAATAGAAGCACAACTCTTGATATAATCATTTGGCAAACAAGCATCCAATAATTCTTGTAACTCGAAGGAGTTAACAGTTCTGTGTTCGTCGGCTAACTGAAGAAAAACGGCTTCATATTGACTAAAGCTTTTTCCATCCAATAACGGAGGTGCTTTTATTATAGCAGATTTTACCAAAGATGGTACTGTATCCAGAAGTTTAAGTTTTAAAGGTTTACTGGAATAAACTCTAAGCGTAAAACCTGATTCTTGACCTGGCTCAAAAGTTGTTGGAAGAATGAGGTAGCCACCTTGTTCTAGTTGACATCTATGACTAACCTATCATTAAAATATTTTTAGCTATTAGAAAATTTAATTAAAGAAACTTTTTAACTTACTTGTCGACTATTTGAGTACTGTGAGTTTAATAAAGACTTGTTTTTCTTAAAAAAAGTTTTTCCTATCGTTTCAGTACTGCTTTTAGGTAAAGAATACGCAGAAAAACCTATCACTTTTGGTTCCATTATACTGTGTTGATTTAGAGAAACAACCACTTCTTCTAACTCGCCCAAAAGCAAATGTAGTTGAGGATTTATATGAAATGTTTCTGGATTATTTCGACAACCACCTGCAGAAACTCCTAAAATAAAAATTATTGATTATACAAGGTGTCCCTAAACTTGGTGGCATAAATTTAGGTGCAGATTAAGCAAGTCAAAATAAGACGAAAATCTAAATAAATATTTTTCCTAATTACGTATGTTTAAAAGATACAGGGTGATAAAGTGATACTTATCATACCAGTTTTTTTAATATAACTTCACTTACTACCAAAACACATATTTACACATAATTACAATTCTTCGAGTGAACACAGTGTCGTAGAAACAGGGGTTGCTTAAGCTTATTGTCCCAATACAAACTTTGAGGTTAGGTTGTTTTACCATTTGTTGCAATTTTTCGATTACTATTAAAAAGGTGTACCTCTTAAACTTCGATAAAATAAACCGTTTCAGAGATATTCGAGATTACAATAATTGTTATATCGCATTAAAGGATTAAAACGTATATGATAACAATTTTTTGAATTGAAAAACTACAATTTTTTTAATGTGTCGGTCAGGGCAAAAAGTCCCGAGGCTCATGGAATGCCCTTTTTAGTTTATTCAATTAAAAAATAAAATTTGTTATCATATAAGTACCTTTTAATCCTTTTAAATAATGCGATATAACAATGATTGTAATCTCGAATATCTCGGAAACGGTTAATTTTATCGAAGTTTGAGAGGTACACCTTTTTAATGGTAGCCGAACTGTGTAGGTAATCGATGCATCAAATGTTATAAAAACCTAACCTCAAAGTTTGTATGGGACAATAAGCTTAAATCAACCCCCGTTTCTACGACACTGTGTTCACTCAAACAATTCGCAAAATACCTAACACCTTTCCAAGACTACCATAGTAGAAGTTATATTAAAAAAACTGATATGATAAGTAACACTTTATCACCCTGTATCTTGAAAACATAAGTAATTAGGAAAAATATTTATTTAGGTTTTCGTCTTATTTTGACTTGCTCAATCTTTTCCTAAATTTATGCCAATAAGTTTAGGGACACCTTGTATTTTGTGTATAGTTTTAAGGTTATTTTTGACCAAAAACAAATTTCTGAATATAGGAAAATTACTGATTCCAGCAAATTCTGTTGAATTGAAAGGTGATTTATAAGAAAAGTTTAAGAAATAAATTACCCAAATATGAACATTTAAAATATACGGTCGCACTATGTTTCAATTCTCGGAAAAGTGGGCGAAATCCAAAAAATCCATGTTTTTTGTTCAAGTAAATTGTAAGATAAAAGGTTAATTAATACCTGGCTCCATCTGGTTTCAAAGGAATTTTGTATAAAATCCGTCTATTTTTGCGTTTACGTCAGTTTAAATTTGACGGTTGTGTTCAAGTCGAAAACATAAATTTGTGTTTAATATATATATACAGTGTGACCCATTTGTTTGCGACTCACCCCTGTAAAATCTTATTTTAACCGGATTTGTTTTAAAGTGTAGATCTTGATAAACTGTATTTTTGGAGCAAAAAACGCCATATTTGTACAAAATACAAGGCCTATTATGCCAGTTTTTAAGAGTAAATTTTTAAGAATTCATAGCGATTTTTTTAAACAAAATCTAAGCACGGCACTTGATTCACCACCCCTCAAAACGACCCTTTACTAAATTTTATTTAAAATTTTAAGAAGAAAAATGCACAATAATAATTACAAAAATTTTTTCTGTCAAGTTATCCATGAAAAAAACATTGAAATAAAATTAAACTAATATTAACATGGTACTATTACTATAAGTTTAATTTTATTTCAATGTTTTTTCATGGACAACTTGAGAGAATAAATTTTTGTAGTTATTAAAGAATAAACATATAACAAAATAAAAGAAAAAAAAATAAAAATCGTCAAAAAGCTTAATTTTGGACTTCCACTAAAAAGTCAATTCTCGTTACAAAGTCATGCAGACTACCGTCAACTGCACCTATCAAACATATTGTTAAAAAGTACGTGTTAAATTAATAATGGTTGTTTTGAAGCCATAAACTTTGTAAATATAGGTAGAAAAATTTTAGTTAATATTGTGCTGACCATCATAAAAATTTGTATCTTTAGAGAAATTTAGTAATTTCTACCTTAGTTTACTACATTAATTGTTAAGTTCGAGCTCGGAAAGTTTGTTAATCCGCTAAATTAGTTTATAATCACGATTTGAAATTCTTAAACCTTTGCAATAGTTAAAGTGTATTTGCCTCTTCCGTTTACCTTTTTTATTACCTTTCTAATTTAAGCCAACAATGTAAAACCATTTCCCACCCTTGAATTCCCCCCACCAACTACCCTTAGAATTTAGTTTTGTAAAAGAGTGATCATTAGTTTTAAGTCGCAATAACATCGTCAACCGAGACGGACACGCAGCATCTTGCGTGCCCGATTGTAACTTCAGTTAATTTCTTTGTATATTATAAACAAATATACGATTCTGTTTTAATAAGTTACACCCTAACTTGTTATTTCACACCAATCATCCTAATTTCCCACACGCAAATTAGGAAACAAGTTTCAACGTTTCGTATCCAGAATTTATCGCGACGCGAGTGTTGAAATTTAAACATATGGTCCTTCGAACCGGATAGAATCAAACTGAGTGAGTGAGTGTAAACCACCAAGCAACCTTGATACCAAGCTAGGACGCTCCAGACAACAGCAACCAACCAAGGAGACGTGCAAGGCTCGAGCAAATCCAACAACTGGGTAAGTTCGTTAGTAGAAAACCACCATTTCCATATTACATTGTGTTCACCTGCATTAAACCAACAAAAAAATGACAAACCCAAACCTAACCGTTGAACAAAGAGCAGTGCTGGCGGAACTTCACCGCAAACGCGGTACAATTAAAAGCCAAATTACGAGATTAACAAATACGTTACAAAACCCGTCACAAGAAGCAGAACAAGACGTCGACTATTTAATCACTATGTTCGAGCAAGTCACAAAACACTGGGAGAGATTTAACGATATTCAAGATGACATAGAAAAATTACAACCGAGTGAAGAAGAGAAACGCTTCGAATTGCAAGCAGCATACTGTTTTTTGAACGCGCAAATTAACAAGAAAAGAAGAATTGTAGAAGCCACGAGAACCCCGGCCGCATCGCAATCGCCCATAACTGTCCAAACAAGTCAAATATCAGCCGCCTCATTGGTCAAATTACCCGACATCCCATTACCAAAATTTGACGGTGCCTTTGAGAATTGGACGTCATTTTATAATTCGTTCACGTCCATTGTCAACAACCGCGATGACTTGAACGACTCTCAAAGATTACAATACCTACAGGCAGCACTCACTGGAACAGCACCAAACACCATTAAATCCTTATTAATCACCGACGCACATTACCATACCGCGATAAAGTTGTTAAAGGAAAGATACGAGTGCACACGAAAAATCATAGCAACACATTGGGAACAATTGCGAGAACTGCCAAAGGTGGCCAATAATCAAGGTCTGAATGACTTCATTGATAATGTAAAACAACACGTTGAGGCATTGAACAATCTTGGAGAACCAACAAAACACTGGAACACTCCGTTAAATGAACTAATTATATCAAAAATTCACCCAAACATCGCAGACCAATGGGAAATATAATTGACGGAAGACACCAAGACACCACCATTCATTGATTTATTAAATTTTATTCGTAAAAGAGCGAACTGTAGGCAAGGTCACAACAAAACGACAAACAACCAAGTTCAGGGAAAGAACCACACCCCTCTAAGCAAGCATTTGTGTTAAACCATTATATACCATGTCCTGTATGCAACGAAGCACACACTGTGAGGAAATGCAGAAAATTTTTGACTTTAGCAGTTGATGAACGGCAAAGGATTATACAAGGGGCCTCGCTGTGTTTCAATTGTCTCAGTCCAACCCACAGTGTTAAAGACTGCACATCAAGTTCCTGCTTCAAGTGCAGTAAGAGACACCACACTTTACTTCATTTTCCCAGGCCGGAAGATCACGTAAAACCCGACAACCACAGTGCAGAACCGACAGGTACACGAAAGGCACCGATCGCATGACTAGATACCATAACGCCCACCACACAAGCTCGGAGACATACGACACTGGTCGTCAACCCTTTTTATAACCATCTCATGGTGACTGCTGTAATCAATGTGTTTGATCAACGACAGAATCCAATAAAATGTCGGACTCTAATCGACACGTGCTCAACAACCAACTTTATAACCGAGGAATTAGCCAAAAAATTGCAATTACCAAAAAGGCGATGCGCAGTCGAAGTCGGAGGGCTGGGCACTAGTAGCACCACAACCAACCACATGAAAACCGCTACAATTCGTTCAATCGATGGGAAATACGAACGAGCATTGCAATTTCTTACCGTGCCACAAATAACCCAATTAGTACCAGACCAACCAATTAACCGTTCAGCAATAAAAATACCGAGAAACCTTAAATTAGCCGACCCATTATTTCACAAACCAGCGCCAATAGATATGTTGTTAGACACAGCCATCGCATTTTCTATCATGTGTATTGGACAAATGAACATATCTATCTCAGAGGAGGCAGAATAATACCTGCAAAAAACACGACTGGGCTGGGTCATCGGCGGCAAAATACCTACCGATCAACCACTGCCGCGGCCAAGGTGTAAATTAGCCAGTCTAAATTTTGATATGGAAAAGTTTTGGCAGATTGAACAAATCGAACCGACAACTGTTAAACAAAATGACAACACAACCTGTGAACAACATTTTATCGAACATTTAACCAGATATGAAACCGGACGTTATACCGTAGCGTTACCTTTTAATGATAAACTTATGGAATTGGGGGAGTCACGCAATAGAGCCTTTAATCGTTTCAAAAACCTCGAAAATAAATTGAAAAAGAATCCAGCGTTAAAACAAGCATATACCGAGAATTTAGAAGAATATTTAAAACTAGGACACATGACCAAGGTCGATCAACCTAACTACACCGGTTATTATCTACCTCATCACGCCGTTATAAAGGAAGGAAGTCTTACAACCAAAGTCCGAG